CCCAGGCATCCCTGGCAGCCCGGGGAATCCATCTGCTCCTTTGTCGCCTTCTGGACCTGCTGGACCCATCGTTCCGGGCATTCCAGGCTGACCGGGCTGACCTTGAGCGCCAGGAAGTCCTTGTAGGCCCGGCGGACCCGGCTCCCCCACTCCGCCGTCGGGTCCTCGTGGGCACTTAACGCACTCCGATTGTGTTAGCTGTTTCACCAGCACTCCAATACCGGACAGGCCAGGTGCTCCAGGGGAGCCGTCAAGGCCTGGTTCTCCTGGTGGCCCTGGTTTACCAGGTGGCCCTGGTGGTCCTGCTGGACATGTTTTAGCTTGCGCTGCACATGCACACTCACTACGTTTGTAACGATCAGGTTCCGAAATAGCACGGGCTACTCTGGGAAGTTGGCTATCGGGATCCTCATATTTGGCCATAATCAGTTCCCATGCGCTATCAGTGGCAACCTGAAATGGCAAAAACGATGGTGTCGTGCACAGAATTAACTGAGATTTTTGTTATTGCTTCATAAAACTTACTTACCCGGAAATCCTTCATACCATCCATGATTTCAGTCTGAAGGCTATTCAGCTCAGTGACGATGGCACTGATTGCGATGAAGATCGAAACGGTGATCAAGGAAGCACCGCATGACGCCAGCACAGCGCTTTTCCACATTCTGAAAAAGGAGCATTGTAGGCATAACCCAAGAAGAGCAGCTTGGTAGATCTTTTTGATGGGTAGGAGAGAGCTGTGCTCGAAGAAGAGATATGTCCCGCTCTCCTGGCTCTGAACTGATCGACAATGGCACCGAGCATTGCTAAGACCCTTCAGTTGCTCCCGTTTTTTATCCGTCCGGTAGTTTTTTTCCCATTTCGTCTGGTGTCTGCGCCCCCCCCCTCATCCGTTGTGCTCTCTCTGTCTTCTTCTGCGTGCTTATTCTCTCATTATCATAAAGGCACAACCGAGGCAGAAGTTTGGTGAACGGTTCCTTCGGTCTGTAGGATAGACCCCAAGAGGACAATCACAGATGTGGCATTCCCGTGCACGGAAATCAACCGACAAGAGCGCTAGGGGCTTGCAAAATGAGCTCAGAGTCAACGTGCGTTGCGCAGTTCTCAACGGCACGTTGAGAGATCCTCGCAGAATACAGACGGCTCGAGCATGCGAGTGTGAATGTTCGCGCGAGAGAACGTGTCTAATCGGGCGAAACTGCGCAACGTGGCCGTTGAGAACTGCGCAACGCACGGTTGACTCTGAATGAGAGCTGCAGCTGCCACTTTTTTCTTTTACTAGGCTATTGTCTTTCCTTACAAAAGTGAAACTGGCTGAGCTGGCCAGGAGCGGCTAGATATTAAACTCTCGAGTTCCACACAACCCCTGCCTGCCTCAAGCAACAGTGAACCATCTGTTCGAATGGGGTCGAATCTTGTGGTTCATCAGGTGAGGGCGTAATCGATGAAACGGGCTCACATCTTATGGTGAGGGGAGAACCGTCTCAAGATGTCGGAAAATTGCTGAAGAATTCGCATTGTTTCAATAAGCTATAGAAAAATCATTTAGTTTTCGCCGTTACAAATGTTTTCGACAATGCGTGCAGTGTCGCTGCTGTTACATCGCAGAGCAGTTCCTGTATGGGAGAAGGATTGGGATGAAGGGAAGAGGCAGTCCATGAAGGGAGGTCTCTCAGGACATGGAGCGCTTTTTCGAAATGGTTTTCTGCATGTTGTAGGGGCTCATGCGAGGAACACAGAACCATGATCCATTTTTCCTGAACGCCTCCAGGAATGTCAAAAAACAGTGGTGAAGAAATGGTCCAGAGTTCGATCCCCGGTGATGACTAATTTTTGCAATATAGTTTGGCGCCCCAGATTGCCGCCAAATGGCGCCATCGTCGAGAATAGATGTCATTGTCGTGTTTTGCGGCAATTTGGAGGCGCCAACATAAATTGCAAAAATTTGTCATCACGGAGGATCGAACTTTGGACCATTTCTTCCCCGCTGTTTTGACATTCCTGGGGGCGTTCAGGAAAAATGGACCATGGTTCTGTGTTCCTCACATGAGCCTCTACAACATTCAGGAAACCATTTGAAAAAACGCTCCATGTCCTGAAAGACCCCTCTTATAATGGCGTATTCATGGTCGCTTGTCCGATCGTAACGATCGTAGCGATCGCACAGCATTGGATGGCGATCGTCAGACGTGTCCGAGGATGGTTGATCGATAGGCTGTGCGATACTTACCAAGGAAGGTCTTTCAGGGTGTGCCAAGCTTTTTCAAAACGGTCTTTTGCATGATATAGGGGCACATGCGGGAACCACAGAACCATGGTTAATTTTTCCTGAACGGCCCTCTGAATACCAGAAAAGGGGGTCCCTAGTCACACCTTTTTCACCAGTTTTTCAATCAAAGTCTATTTGTAAGGGTTACTGACGGTCCTAATCATGAATTTGGTACTAATTATTCATGCTAACTCCATTTTGCGCGAATTTTGAAACGTCAACTCGAAATGCAAAAATTTGTCACCACGAGGAATCGAACTAGGGACCCCTTTTCTGGTATTCAGAGGGCCGTTCAGGAAAAATGAACCATGCTTCTGTGGTCCCCTATGTGCCCCAATGTCATGCAAGAAACCATTTTGAAAAAGCTTGGCACACCCTGAACGACCTCCCTTGTTAGGACCCTTGCGATAGTACGAGTGACTATGAATGCGTCTAAAGAATTCTGTGAATTTTACGAGAGTCTGAGCTCTGAACAAAACGTTCGCCCCAAGTGCGATTCGGACCTGCACCTCTCACTTACTGGTGGCAAGTGGCAAGTGTCACGACGTTGGACGTGTGAGTGCTGATAAGCTATGGTCAATATACCGTGAAAGGTCCTAATTATGCAACTCCTTGAAATCTGATGCCTTCTATCTTATGAGACGTGCGCCTAAATTATATTTCTGTCATTAATATACGAGTAAGCCAATAAAATCCATCCATTTACTAATAGCATTTTTCTTCGCTTTACTATTGTCCTGCAAAGAAAGTTTATCAATATCGATTAATTATAACATTATAGTTATGTATAATAAAATGTACAAATAAATAAATAAATAAATAAATAAATAAATAAATAAATAAATAAATAAATAAATAAATAAAAGGCTGTTAGGGTGAAACGGTACCTCAGTAGCGTAAGTTGTACCGCGAATGCCCGCTAACACGGGAAGCCATGTTAAGTCGAACCCCCGTTCAAATGAAAATGTATTACTCCTGATGCATCTCGCCACACGCTCGAATAAAGTCTCGATCTGACCAAAACATCCCCCCTAAACTGCGCGGCTCTCACACGAAAAGATTAATAACAGCGATAATAGCGAACAGTGCAAGTGAATAAAAGGTATGAAAGCATGGCAGGATAAACAACGCTCCAACCAATAGAATCGAAGAGATATCCTATATAATTTGCAAATTGTTGCTTTGCTTTTGTCCTCTAGTACCAGTCCTTCGCCGGGCAACCATAATTCCAAACGCAACCCAACTTTGCTATTATTAGGAACGTCCTACGAGCTTTTTTACCTGCTTCATCAAAAAACCATAGCATTCCACCCACCCTGTGTACACTATCATACCTGTGCCAATAACTGCTGTGCGGAGCAAGCCGTTCACCCAGATAATTTGGAAAAATTCAGATAATACGGAATCCAGCCGTATACTGAGAAGGAAAATGGCATCAGGAGGTATACATTATCCTTCGAACGGCCACTCGACCTACACATCCTTCGCTTCGGTAATCAAATGAGTGCGGGTCCCTCACTTCCGCGACGCGCTTTTGATGTCATCTGACCCCCCCCAGTCAGTCCAACATATTAAGTGGGAACATCTCGCCCACCACCAGAACTGCGAAACCCGCACTTAGAATAACCAAAAAGCTCGAAACTCTGCGACTTCCGACTCTCCGTTTTTAGAGGAGGGCTATAAACAAGCAGTCCGAGTGCTGGGATCGAGAGGTGAACGCAGCGAATTAATATCTCTGATCTTCAAGAACCCGTTTTTGACACAAGAAGGCACCCACGATTGAGGCTGGAAGACCAGGAGAGTCAGCTCAATTGGCTTCTTTATTTCGCTGACTTGCCGAAAATAGTGAGTTTCAGAGAACAATAATTACTAACCCCCGCCCACGAGCATGAGCCCTTGTGCTTATGTTGTGCCTTCTAGAAAGCTGCGGATTTTCTCAATCCCCAGACAGTGAATATCGCCTCGCCACTGCGCGCTTCTGACACCGGCCTCTCCCAGCCCTCCAGGGGGGGGGACGCCCTTGAACCTCCGCCGATTGTGTATGTGCCACACGCAAGATTGCGCGGCCGTGCTGTGCGGCGAATTGTCGCCCGAAAAGCAACTCCTCCCCGCGGGCTTTTTGCCCACGACGACTCCCAAACAAGAACCAATTTGTCCATCAAAGCGCGCACCGCATCGCCGAACAATCATCCGCATATATTTTTCATACAGATCGAATGATCATTTCCAAATACATAAAGGAGAAAATTGGGGACACCGCGACAGCGTGAAACGATAAGATATAAAGTTGCAAATATAAAAATATGTGACACACAGCAAATAGTGCTCTTACAACCATCAGGGCACTCAAGCCGTTGGTGAATTTTATTCAACTGAGGAGAGCCAAAATAAAAATGCCCCACTCAAAACCCCACGCAATCGGGACCTTCAGGCAACCCAGCAGACTACATCCGGATCTGGGCGAAAACGTCCAAAAAGCCCTAGGACGCTGTGACCCACAATCCTGAGCGAGCCCAAGGAAGGTCCGCGGGTTAGATGGCGCTAGCTGGCTCGCCGTGCTCCTGCTGGCCATGCGTAATCCCCCGCCCGGACATACTATACTACTCTGCGTCCTCTTCTGAGCGTACTGACGTACATCTCGAAACACAAATCCCAAACCCCCCCCTTACCCTCCTCGCAGCGTTGGTCTCTACGTCCGTATAGCGAACCAGCCTCCATAGGAAATAGATGTTTTAACTATATGATGCTTTGTGTTTTCTTCATCCACTAATGTTCCCTCTTCACCCCTTGCTCTAATTGCCTCTTGAGCGCCAAACAAAATAACGCATCAACTCAATCCTGACTCGTGCCTTTAGGATATAAAGTGCTGCGATCAGCAAAGCAAGACGTAGCATTTACGCAAGATAACTCTCTCTCAGAGGGAATTCCTAACTTAGTGTTTTTTATTCGCTTTGATGATAGCAGTGACATTTCCATGAAGGTTCTTTTTCTTTTATCTATTTGCGCTCACATCTCCTTACGACGCCACTGTACTCAAATCTTCCAAAAACGGAACGTTTTTCAATCCGCAGAATCATGCGAAGTTTATCCAGAATCTGTACACGCTTTGACGCGTTGAATTCTATTGCAGCGAAGCCTTGTCTTGTCAGATCGCCGCGCATTCCGCCGTGCGATTCGCCGCGTGCCAGCCTGGACGAGCCAAAAGTCCCGCACCCGTCTCTAGGATAGACGCGTAGAGGGAATTACAGATGTTTGGAGCGCAGCGCCGAGTGCCCAATAATGGCGCTAGGACTTACAAACATACCTTCAGCTTCTTCAATTTCTCCTGCCGCAACAGATTACTGTCTGGCACTCTCTCATCTGTTGCGCTCTCACACCTCATACTCTCCCCTCCG